TTGATAATATTTAATGCTAAAAGTATAAAACAAATATACTGAGTCTAATTTTATAAGAAATCATTATTCTATGAAAGTCATATGTAATTTTTAGGTGCTCACATATATATACCCAAAAGGCAAATTTTATGAAGAGCTGTTCTTGGATGGTTCTACTTTCTGCCAAGTCTCCCTCCCTCCCTTCCTTCCGATTGCTTGCTTGTTTGTTTTCATTTTGAAAGACTGAGTTACAGAGAGAAGGAGAGAGCGAGAGAAAGAGACAGCGAGATCTATCCATTGGTTCAATCCTCAAATGGCTGCAAAGGCCAGTACAAAGCAAGGAGCCAGGAGTTTATTCAGGGTCTTCCAGATGGGTACAGCAGCCCAAGAGCTTAGGCAATCCTCCACTGCTTCCTCCTGCCATAAACAGGCAGCTGGATTGGAGGTGAAGTTAAGACTCAAGGGGTTTCCATTTGGGAGCCCAGTGCCACAAGTGGCAGATTTACCTCCTGGACTACATAATTGGTTCCCAGTTTTCTACCATGTCTATAACCTTTTCTATATAAATATTTGTTTCTCAGTAATTCTAAAGGAACTAGTTCAGGAATGAAGATGAATGGATTATAGTGTCTGAGGGAAGAGACTAAAATTTCAAAATACCAATTTCTGGATGTTCACAAATTCCCTAATTGTATAATGCATTTTAGAAAGGAGTGCTTTTCTAGATTTATAGCAGGAGTTAATAAAACACATAAGATCAAAAAGTTTGTAAAAGACTGAATTCATAAAGTAACCCTCTGGTTGATGATTCAAAGTCACAGCATAGGTTTGGGCACACGTATGTTTCTTGTTTTTATTGAAATGACTGCGTTATCTAACTAATCCCCAAATTGGTGCCACGCAAAAATGCAATTTCAGGTCCACACATAGTATGGCAGGTGCAACTGTGAATCCAGCCACGCAGCCAAGTTCCAGGAGATTCTAACAGTGTACTCTGGTCTCAGGAAACCTCAATTTAATGTCTGTTGCCAGAATCCCTCCTCACCCATTGACTAAATTACTTGTAATATTTTCTCACTGGGGAAGAAGCTTAACTTCTGAATCACTTTATAGGGTGTTTCTTTTTTTTAATAGATGAGATTATGTAATTCATTAAAACCCCATATAGTGTAAGCCAAGTATTATATAAAAACAGAATGCAGCTCCTGTGATCCTAACTACAGGATCTGTTTTCTAAAATGACTGGTAGGAAATTGTAGGACACCATTAAAAGCTATTTCATACTGTATTTACTTTTTTCTAGCCACAAATTAAAATATAGTTTGTCTTCACCCTTGTCGGTGGGGTAATATGTCTGCAAAGAGCTGTTTTACTATTGAATTGAAGACTTGGCCAAGGATTTTAACATTGCTTATTAGGTACATATTTGAAATAATGGAAACATTACATATTTTTTAAAAGCAATGGCCTCCTGCCAGGGACTTGTGTCACTGAAATGCTGTTACTAAAACGAGAGAGTCTGGAGAATTTTAGCAGAAACGATTTTTCTAGACAGTTGAAAAGACTGGCCCATCGCCTATGCTAAAATTAGAGTTTCTTTATGTTTCAGCAGAGAAAATGACTGTAAGGCTATTTAAAGTGTGTATATGCTAAAATGCAGGAAAAATGAAGTGTGATTAATAATGGTATAATCCTATTGAATTTTGAGTGACCCAACTCTAATGTAATTAATGTGGGGGGAAAATTAGAGGACTTGTCTCCATCAATTCATTTCAAATGGATGAGGTGTCTTTATCAAGAGGGCTTAAATCTTTAGAAAGCAAACTTTGCCTTTGAGCAATTATAAAGAAGAAAAATGCTGTTCTTTGAGAAAATGTCTAATTTTTATAGAAGTGTAAGGTTGGCTCTCTGCACTGCCCCTACTCTATTTGGAAATATGGGGTATTCAGCTTAACCATGTGCTGGGTCAGATTAATAGCCAATTGTATTGCCAAGTTGAGTAAACATATGTGGTATGTCTTTCTCCTTGCTTAATCTGCCTCCCGTCATTGAAGAATGATTTTGAACTACTCTTTTTTATTGAGGAGCTGTAGAAGTATCTTGAATGTGATATGCTGTGTATAAACACAGTGGAATTCTCTTTGGCTTTGAAGCGCAACCAAGTAGGAATGTCACCACACACAGTGCACAGCTTACTGACTGGTACACAAGGTCGACGCATAGTTGGCCTGAAGATGCCCGTGTGTATAGGAAGTTGTCAGATGCTAACATGCTGCACCCTGCGTTCTGCAATCATGGCTTTTAAATAGCATCTGCGTCTCTCCATTGTTTTGATGAGACCTAGGTTACTATTTCAAAATGCACATACAAGAGAAAAACGTAGTTCTAAATTTTGCCTGGATTTAGCATCCAGTTAGCATCATTCTGAAATGTGCCGTCTGGCTTTTCCTGTACTTGCCTGTGGTAACTGCTGTGCCCCTGTACCAGCTGTCTTTCTGAAGCCAGCTTGGCTTAAGTTGTTCTGTAGGAATCATGCAGAGACACAGGAGGAGCCCTTCATAAGAAGCACTGCGCAACTTCTAGCTTTGTGGCTTTGCCCAACTCAAGCTTCAGTTCTTTGGTCTACATCATATCAATTAGAACCTTGTTTCAACAGTTGTTGATAGTACTTGATTTGTAAATGTTTAACATGTTTGTTTTTATTTAGTTATTTATGTGGTTTTCCATGATGTGATTTTTAGGTATAGGGGTCCTCCTCTCCACCTTGCCGTCCTCCCTTGCCCTTCTCCCCCTCCCACGTTTTCCCCTACATTATTACAACACTGTGGTCCTTCAGCAACGGTCACAAGTCCACCATTCTGCCATAGGAGTGTATCATGGCATCGTAGGTGTAGGTATAGATATTGTCCTCTTCCGTTTGTCTGCATAAGCACTGATTTAGTTCAGGTCTTCAAGGCTTCTGTCCTCTAAACTGCCCCTGCCTCTGTCTGCCCCCTTTAAAAATCCCATTCCTCTAGAGGTTGTCACACAATGGCTCCAGGGGCCCTCTTAACAAAATATTCATTTTCTGAATCTTTACAGTCTCCTGATGGTATTGGAAAGCTAAATCCTTGAGAATTAAAAATATGTGCAACTAATCCCTGCTGATGAGCAGAATGCTTATTGACCATTCACTGTGGGCTAAGTGCTTTTCTAGGCTCCTCCCATTATTAACTTACTTCATCCCCAACTACAACGTGCATATGTTACTGTCTTTGTTTCCCTCTGACGTGAAGAGACCGAGGGAGAGATTTACAGTGTACCCACCTTCCTGTACCTGGCATGTGGCCGAGCTGCAACCCCAGCTCACCTCTCACTGAAGGGTGAAGCCTTGTCCTATCTCATCTTGTACTGAGGCTCCATGATCTTCTGACCACTGGCCAACAGCCACTGTCCTTGCACTGTCTGGCTTGCGTGGCGTTCTCTAGAATCCCTGAGCTATTTCCCAGAGCTCCTTCTCTGCATCTTTCCTTTCTCACTGAGGGAGTTGCTCAGCCTCCATGGCTTCGCATCCACTCTTGCAACTTACGGCATCACGACCTCCATACTTCATGAGCCAGGCCTGCTTCCTCCACAGGCCATTGCTCTAGAAAGAAACCTTTTTGATTCTAGCCTCAGGCAAACCTGTTATGATTGATCACTCTATTATTTCTTAGCTTACAGATCCTAGGGTTTCTCTGAATCTCAGCTCCCTCCTAAAAGTGCTGGCTTTCTAGAGTCTGGGACTCTATGATGATCTCTATGAAGAATAAGCACCGATACAATGTGATTCTATATCTAGAATTAAGGAGTCACAGATGCACCTGCTTCCTCAAAAACTGTGTGTGTATGTGGGTGTGGTGTTGTGTGTTTTGTGTGTTGTGTGTGGTATGTGTGGTGTGTGTGTTGTGTGTGTGGTGTGTTTAACCTTTGTCTGCTTTCATTTTCCATGTTTTTTTCCCAAGATCTTTACCTGATTTGATGGTGGCCTTAACTACTGGCCCAATGACTGTGCAGGAGCCACTTGCTGATGCTTTCCCATAGGCTGCCTGTGCTCCTGTGTATTTCATGAGTGCTGCTTTAGGTCACCTGGGCTCCTGTGGTTCCAACAATCCAGTTACAGTCATGACAAGGAAGTGCTGGATATAGAATCACTACATTCACTTTTGATTAAAGAGCTTTGGCCAGCAAGGTCAGGAAATAGACCATAAGGAATCTGGAAATCCTTCTCTCAAATTATGCATGCTAAAAAAGATATGCCACAGAAGAGTCCTTGGATGTAGTGGCTCACTTTCCTCCAAGTTGAAGGTTGCACAATCTCACCCACCTTTCCCTACCCTTCCAAGACATGTCCAGCTGACACCTTGCTCCTTGCTCCTGTGGGATACGGGAGGCACGATGTAGCTGAGGTTGCCACGGCAGCAGCACACATGAGCGGACAGTCTGCTGTAACTACAGTGGCCTGCACGTCAGTCAGTTGAGAAGGCTCACTGGGTTTTTATTAGCATATGATGCAGTCCCATATCATCTCCAGTCCTTGGCGAGTCCAAGACTTAAACACGATGGTGTGGAACACTCGTTACTTATCAGTTTCAAATATGGCATGGCCCAGGGTTCTCTCACCAAAGCAGCTGTGGTGGCTGGTTCCTTCCACAGCTCACACCCCAACTAAGATCTACAAGAAGGGCCAAACAGGAAAGATGGGTCCCACTTCCGGAATTCTTCTCTACCATGTTTCGTCTCTTCTCTATGCTTCTTAAAAAGCAGCTGTGACCTCAGTAGATGATCAAGAAATCTCACACTTTACCCAAGGAGCTGGACAATGGTTAACATCCTGCAAGATAAATTTCCAATCCGCTGGCTGGGAAGAACATGTGCTGAAGAATAAGGATGGAATTACTGTAATTCTGGGAACTGATGGAAGTGGAACTTAGTATTTGATTGCTTAAAATGCTAGTAATGTCCTCGGTGACTTCTAACTTGGGATTTGATTTGTTTTTCAGACATGGAGATGACTTGATTGTGACTCCATTTGCTCAGGTAAGCATACCTTAGTGAATGGGCTGCCTTCTCACGAGTCTGGGACTTTAACTTGGGAAATTAGTTGTGCTTCTTAAGTTTAAATCAAATATAACTTCTGTGATTCAGGCAAGTGAGACAAAGGGAATGGCAGAGTCTGTGACTTGGGCCACACTGGCCTGGTTTATATAAAATCCATTGACCCAAAGAGTATCTGCTTTGAATAAAAAGTCACTTAAGGGAAAAAATACTTAAATGGGTCCATATTTTCTTAACCACCATGAGCATGAGAAGCAGAACAGTATAATGTGGGTGAACTTATTCTTGGTGTAATTAGGTTACGATCAATGATTGAAATACAGTAATCCAATTCATCCTGACATCTCATTGACCCCGTGAGTGTGTGTGTGTGTGTGTGTGTGTGTGTAATAGCTGTATATAATGTATTCAGATATTGAACTGAATAAAATGTTGATAGTTATTATTAGCATATGATGCAGTCCCATATCATCATTTTTTAAGCGTACAAATTCTGAGAATAATTTAGGCATATGACATAGAGGCGAGAAGGCGATAAAATCACCAGAAGTATTTGCAATAGATATCAGAGGGCTAACGACTCAATGTTCTTGATATGCAGCCGGAACACTCAGCCCTTACTTGACATTACATTTCCCAATGGTTCTTACCCAAATGCCCCGCTACTCCATTAAATCAATAAAGTGTGTGGCGGGGGGTGGGGGGAGATGTTGCATGCAAACACATGTGTGTTTTCAAGGCCTCCGTATCCTTCCAAGGTGCCAGAGAAGTAGAGGACTCCAAGTGTAAATAACCAGGGCCAGAATGGGAGAAAACTGACCAATCTGGGGTCATTGAAAAGGCTGTACTAATAAGAAATGGTAATTATTGAAATATAAGTAATCATAAGAAATTATACAAATTAAGATCCTCAAGGTTGTGACTTAAACAGCTAACACACCTTAGGCAACTCATTTAACTTCCCTCAGCCTCTTTTTGTCCAATCACTAAAGCTGGGGACACTCAGCCCCTCCTTGGTAACTGATGACTTGAACGAGTCACTGAGCTTTGCCAGTGACAGTTCCACCAGGACTGGTCTCATTGGATTCTGAAGAGGTTTCAATAATATCAGACCCATTAAATGCTCAGCATACTTTCTGAGAAGTATGATAGTCAATAAATGTAGCAGCACTTGACTTAATTGTGCAGAGATGGGATTGCTATTTCATCTCGAAAATTTTCTCCTAGACCTTACTTTTTGAAAAAAAAAAAATGAAGAAAGCTAGTATTGGGATTATGTATTTCACTTTTTTTAAATCCCCTGACATTTTTCTTTGCTGACATTTCAAACTTATGTAAGTGACATAAGTAACATATATATAAGTAACATAATATCTATTGAAATTTTTTAAAATTGTTACTCCAAATTAAAATTGAGTATAACCACCACTACTGTCAGATATTCAGTATCGTTTTTATGCTTAGAGTTTTGCTGTGTGTGGTGGGTTCTTCAAACCATAAATTATTTATTGATTAATATCGATAATGTGTAGTTTTTTTTTTTAATCTAAGAGGCAAAAACCAGATAAAATCAGACAGTGGTATAGGAAGCCACCATCAAAGGTACAATCATGTGAAATTGATTGATTTGGGAAAAAATACAGAGGAACAAATGAAAAGGAAACCAAACTGAGGCTCCATTTCCTCTGTCCCTCTAATCTCCAAAAAGCCAAAAGAATTCCAACCTATTAAAGCAGAAAACACACACACATATATACACCGTGTCATTTAGTAGAAGCTCCTGGCTCCTGGCTTCGGATCAGCTCAACTCTGGCCTTTGCAACCAATTGGGAGTGAGCCAGCAGACGGAGGATCTTTCTCTCTGTGAATCTACCTTTCCAATGAAAGTACATAGATCTTTTTTTTTTAAGATTTATTTATTTTATTACAAAGTCAGATATACAGAGAGGAGGAGAGACACAGAGGAAGATCTTCCGTCCGATGTTTCACTCCCCAAGTGAGCGCAACAGCCAGTGCTGTGCCAATCCGAAACCGGGAACCAGGAACCTCTTCTGGGTCTCCCACACAGGTGCAGGGTCCCAAGGCTTTGGGCCATCCTCGACTGCTTTCCCCAGGCCACAAGCAGGGAGCTGGATGGGACGCAGGGCTGTCAGGATTAGAATCGGCGCCCATATGGGATCCTGGGGAGTTCAAGGCGAGGACTTTAGCCACTAGGTCATGCTGCTGGGCCCGAAAAGTACATAGATCTTTAAGAAAAAAAGAACATACTAAGTTGCATGAAACCTTAAGAACTCAAACAATGATATGCAAATACTCTGTTGGGTGGGGCTGAAAAACCAAAGCACGTGGGTAAGCATTGATGGCCGAGTCTCTCGTGTTCTATCCCAGCGTCTAAAGCCCTACCAGGGGGAAACTTCTTGCAGGTGTTTCCCACCTCCCCCTTTGCATGCTTTGCTCACGGTCCCTTTGGTTCCCAGAAAAGTGACATGTTTATATATATATATATATATTTCTACACTTCAATTCTCCTATTTGGTGCTGAATTTCTGGGTGGAGTGTTTCCTTTCCCCGCCCCCCGAGAAAGCTGGGCAGTTTGAGAAGCCCACCCCCTCCCCTTACTCCACCCCACTCACCCACCCTGCCTCTCTGGAGGGAAGTATCCAGTTGGCGTGTGGTTTTCAGGCATCCGGGCACGAGACCCGACACTGAGGGCGTGTGGGAAGCCCCTCCTGCTGCCCTTGCGCCAAGAATTCGCATGATGTATGGTGTGCTTGCCCTGTAAAACTCTCGGATGACTTCAACTCCCATCTACGGGTTAGACAAGGATGAAAGAAGAATTTCAGATGACAGAAAAGACAGGAAAGACCCAGACCTTATCCTGGACCCGTGGCACGAGCTCCCCAGCAGGAGACCAAGGCCATGCACCACCCTTGCACGAGGTAGAATGAGGGCAGGGATGAATTCAGCCTTTTGCGGTGGCTCTCACCAAGACATGGCCCCTGCGACACTCTGCAAACGCGTTATCATACGCTAAGCTGTGATTCGCGGACCTGACCCAGCCGCCAAGCTTGTGAAGCCTACCAGGCCACCTCTGTCAGACCCTGGAAGACGAAAGTCACCTCATCTCAGCTGCTTCTGCGCTTTAGCTTCTGTTCAGCCTTCATTAATAACAAATCATCAGGAACCTGTTCCAGGGAGCCAAGTTCTTTTTAGGTCAAACCTCGTCAATTGTCACCATTCAACCTTTCTGACGTGTTTAAGAACAAGTTTGGATGCTGTAACCAAAACATAACTTGGAAAGGTTTCCACTGCAATTAAAGTGACTTTTTTTTAAATTTGGAAAATAATCCTAATAGGGCTCCTGCCCTGCCATTGCTCTGGGCCCTCGTGCAATTCATGCATGGGCTGTGTTTTGCCGCCACCTAGTGGCGCAAAATGTATGTAGCATGAACAAGCACCTCACCCTTCTTCATGTTACTCAATTGTTCAACTGTTTAATGAAGCTGACATTTTTCTTTGCATTTTTCAGTAAATCCTATGAGTTAATAAATGTCTAAATACCCAAGAAATTATGACAGCAGTGTGTGTAAATAAAAGTTCACAGGAAACACATAGTATAAAACAAATCTATGCATGAATTTCAAAATCCTTTGTGTGAAAAATAAACCCACCATTTACTTCCTATTTCTCCATAAATGCCGTAAAATTCTCCTATAGTCTGTCTCTACAGGCTAATCTGTGAGCCGTTTGTGTCCAGAATGTCTGGGACACCGCTGGTAGTTCTTCACTTGGGTATATAAACAACTTTTTCTCATCATTCCTGGTGTATGTGTGACGCCAACTGATTTTACCAAAGGGACAAAAGAGAAAGAAACTGCCTGCCTTTTCTAACCACATTGAGCAGAGCCAAGGAACCCCAGGGACCCCTTCTTTAGCAAACATTAACGAATGAAGAAAATTATGGCATCAGCAAAGCTCTGACTACTGCTCTGAAACGGGATCTTTTCACAGCCTGAAAGCTGCCAAGGCAACGGAGGGGTGGGGGGGAAGACCCGCATGAGAACCTGGGGGCTTTATATCGTTTTTTTCTAATTAAATTCGGAACTACACGAAGATCCAAAATATTTTAAAAAAAATGTGTATCATTTAAATGAGAACCACCCCCCCTCAAAAAAAAAAAAACAGTTTAATATCTTATTGTAACAGAGGCAAGAACTCTCTTTGGAAATATAACCTCGTGTTTCCTTTCAAATGAGCGTAGAACAGGAATTAGCTGCTAGCCCACCCCGTAAAGTGAGTGACCGTGTGTCACAATGAAAATCTCAGAATTCATGGCATTAAATGTTGTGATGTAGAAAAGCCCATAAGATGTTCACTAGAAAAGCTACGCTTTGGTCCAGTGTGTTCAGAATGCTGTGTTTGTATTCAGAATGCTGTGTTTGCGCCACTTCTGAAGATGTAAATCAAGCCTGCACTATTAAATGACACTGGCTCATTTATCCAATTTCTTTCGGCATCATTCAAGGTTTGCTGCCTCCTGAAAGACCTCGCCGTGTGATGTCAGCCCTTGGCTGTGTGGGTCCTTGGTCACAGACAGCGTGACCTTTGGAGCTGGGAGTTGTTTACTTGGGATAATGAGCCAGGGTTTTCCAGTGACTGCGTTCAGCAGGCCTGACTCCTTAGGAAACACCAATTAACTCCTTCAGGGAAAGACACAGGAGGTCACCTCCCTGGACGTCAACAACTCTGCAGTGACCTCCTGGAATAAAAGTTACTTAAAGTTGTTTAAAAAAATAATAATAAATGAAAATATCAGACATCTTTGACTACAAAAAAATTAGCCTAATTTTCATCTAGGTTAATGCCAAATGGAAAAAAGAAAAGCTGAAACTAGTTGTGGGATTCCTAGAGCGATTAGAAGTCTCTGACACATCACGTAGTAGCAGGGACAGACACGAAACACATTTCCACGTGATGCCAGATCACAAAACAAGTGCAATATTACCACCGTTGACCGATACTCTTTGAGAGCTTCCTATCTGGTCCCTAAGCTCTCACTGCATAGAACCCTCACCACAAGTTCATGGGTAGGTACCAGGACTGCGGTCTGACACAGAGGGAGATGATGTGGCTTGTTCAAGTTCACACCCTGAGTATAAAATGGAGTCGGGGGTGGGGGGGGGTCAGGGTTTCTCTGTGTAGCTCATAGGACATCTGAAATCTGTTCTCATCTCAACTGAACTTTTCATCCAGAAAAACTGTTATTCCATCGGAGATGAGGACCCTGTGCAGAGATCATGGAAACGGAAGTTCATGAATCAGGACAAACCACGCCTGGGTTTGAAAACTCCTTGTACCTAAAGAGTGCCCGACAAAACATAGGTTGCATCATTGAATTCCATTTTTCCACCAACTTTCCCAAGTCCCCTCCTGCAGGCTCCATCCTGGAAGAATCCGCACACTCCATCCAGGAGGATGCGGAAGAGCAGCAGAAAGTGGTCCCTTAGAACACTTGTCACCCAGCCTCACTTCCTACTCTGCACCCATTTAGAGTTCCGTGGTGCTGATAACCTTAAGAAGGGATGGGGGGAAGCCCAGGTACCAGCGGCAGGTACATGCAGCCAAGGGGAAGAAGCGATTTGAAATTTACTTAGCTTGCAGACATAAAATGATGGGATTTTTAGTGAAGTTGTAAAGAGAATTTGGGAGTAATTTAGTTCTATTTGTATCCCTAAAGTCGTTGGAATTTCGTTTAGCTGTGTTTGAAATATGCATGAAAGGCAGCGATGCTGTGTGTCTGTTGCGTGAGATACGATCTTGGGGGCTTAGGAATCAACAGTATTGGAACTGCTGCTGCAGTAGCCGTCATCATGGGCACGGAGGAGCCCTCTGCTGGGTCCTCTCTCTACTTCAGATGTCACGCTCACATGCTCATCAGGGATGCACGCCACAAAGTGGCAAGCAACCTCAAGTTTTCTCTGAACAAATCGTGTTTAAAAATGCACTCAAATGATGCTAGTCCTAGAAGCTTAAAGAACTCTTTCTTGTTCTAGGTCTTGGCCAGCCTACGAACTGTGCGAAACAACTTTGCTGCATTAACTAACTTGCAGGACCGAGCGCCCAGCAAGTAAGTGATCCTCATCTTGCCTCCTCCTTGCTGAGTTTGAAATCTGTGTTCTTTCTCTCTGTTGGAATGCAACACGACGCGTAGACTTCCCTTCCCTGAGTCCTTGCCTTGCTGCCTAACTACGCATATGAAGTCATAGGAGGCCCTGTTCGTCTTCTATAAATACTTGGTGGTGAAGCTTCCCAGATCAGAAATGAAGCAAGGTGACAAATAAATACCATGATCCTATCTGACAGCAATTTCCTGGCAGGTGGTTCTTGTGCCCAGCTCCGTACACGTAGGGTCACTTTATAGTTTTGGCATTAGTTTATGAATTCCCCAGAGAAAACAGCCTCTTGAGCCTTACAGTTACCCCCAGAGTCACTCTCTTCTTTCTAAGACAACAATGGGTTAAAGAAACACCCTGTCAGCAGAGATCTCTGCCGTTCTGCTCTGGCTGACTCTCAGATCAGCAGCATTCATGGAACAATTAATAAAATGATGATTCATATGATAACAGCTGACATATTTGAAACAGAGAAAAGTGAGATGGAAAATAATTACGATTTAGGGATCCTGATAAAGGCCAAAATTCTAAAACAAGAAAATTGATTTTTCAAGATCGAAAGGACGACTGATTACTCATGAGTTATATATTCAGTATTTTTTTTAAAACTATGATTAGTAAAAAAAAAAAGTAGTATTAAAACATTAACTCAGAATGTTCCAGAAGAATGGAAACACTTAAATGTATATTAAGAAAAACAGTAGCTACAACTTTATTTGGAATTAAAACATGTTGAAGTATATAAAATTATATGGTACTTGCTTCTTAATTATATGGTTAATGAACGTGCTGCATATTCCATTGTATGATAGAATTGACCTCCAACATTCATATTTTTCATGATTAAGGAAAGGTCATTCTGTGCATTCATGAACCAATATAAAGTTCATGATGTAAATAATTGGAGAAGGACCCAAGGCTTCAACTGAGTGTCGTGTTTGCAGTTGATGAATTTTTGTTGCCTGGGCTCTTTTCTGCTGCTGCTTTCTCCCTTCCTCATTTCCAGGAACAACTCATTCATTGTCTAGTTTACACACACGATACAATTCCTTTGGGGGCCTTACCCTGACACTACCCAACAGAGGCACAGCCACCAGCCTCCAAGTGGCCCCAGTGCCTTCCCGTTTCCTTGCACATCTGCAAGGATTCCTAGGTGAGCAGCTGTCCCTCTGTGCTCCTGTTGCCATGTGCTTGTGGGGACGGTGCTTGGTGGCCTCAGCTCCTGGTGAAGGGAGGGGGGGCTGTGTTTGGCACACTGTTTTATTCCTGGTACCCAGTAGAATGCAGAGTGATGTTTTAAAGTGCGATGTGGTCATTTGGCATGTGGGACTCAGGACTGTGCCTGGCGGGAGCCGTCCATTGCCAGTCATGTTTTCTACACAGCATGGCCATATGGCATCGTGCTGAACCTCATGGCCCCTTTGGTAGCTGAGAGGCACAAACTCCACACCTTTGGAAAGCCTCAGCTCCGCAGGATGAATTGTCACATCCAAATGTTTGACTTTCACATTTCCTCCAAGAAAACAAGGTTTGTCTTCTAAAGCGAAACAGGAAATGAATTCCCTTTGAGCTTCCTTTAGCTCTGGTCCCCTGGGGTAGACAGATGTGAAGGTGTCAGAATCCCACACACACTGTGTCTCTACAAGGATGATCTGAAATCCATTTGGGGAAAGATAGGCGTTTTCAGCTGACCTACAGGGGCAGACGACTCTTGTGCAAAGGGGCAGTTAGAGAAAGACAGGAATTCACAGCCAGCACCTGAATTCCTGACCTGCCATGACCACTGCACAATGCCAAGGGTGGCAGCCCAACAAACCGTCTCATCTGGTGAACCCTAAGTGAAGGCCAGTGAGGTCAGTGTAGATCTGTGCCTCCTTTCCTGACTCAAACTGAATCGGCTTCGTTGGGAATCAGAAGAGTGGGATTCGGTGTCCATTGCTAAGCTGGCTTCTGTTCCGGGTTAGAGCTTACCCTGCTGTGCATTCCCAGGGCTCCAGGAGCTCTCCAGGACCACCTTTTGGGTTTGAGGAGGGCACATTTGCTGCCTTGCACAATCTGCATACTTATTTGCTAAAGACAAGAAATCCAGGCCGAATGTGCTCAAAGCCCAGCCTCTAAGTATGTACACATTGCTGACGTCTGTGTGGTCCACACCTAGATTTTTCCGAATCCAGCCTAATCTTTGTTGAATGATGTATCAATGTAACCACAGATCAAGAGGTGAATATTTTCTGCCTTCTGTTACTTGCTTCAAGTTTCCATGTGCCAGATGTAAAACTGGTGTTAACAGGAAGTAAGAAAAGGCAGCCATCCTTTGGTTTTCCAAAATTATACACTAGTGTAAAAATATGCACTTGATAACTTTCCTAGACAGCACCAGTCCTTACAGCCCAAGGACTAAAAAGTCATCAATCTATAAATTACTGCAAGAATAAACTCTTGGCACAAAGATAACTACTAATATATAGACCAAAGCTAGCAGACCAGCATTTTCTTTGTTTCTTTTTTCAAATTCATTTATTGGAAAGGTAGATTTATAGAGAGAGGAGAGACAAAGATCTTCCATATGCTAGTCCACTCCCCAAATAGCCTCAACAGATGGAGCTGGGCCAGTGCAGAGCCAGGAGCCTGGAGCTTCTTCCATGTCTTCCACATGGGTGCAGGAGACAAAGAGCTCCACTCAGTTTCCACTGCTTTCCCAGGCACGTTAGCAGGGAGCTGGATCAGAGGCAGAGCAGGCAGAACTCCGACCAGAGCCCATTATGGAGAATTAGCCAGCATGCCAGTCCCAAGTGCAGCACTTTAAAACAATGCCCAGCGGTGACAAGGGCAGTTCAGACACACATACGTCTCGTCTCAGAGTACCTGGGTTGGTTGCATGTCTTCGCTGCTGACACCAGCATTCCCAGCTCCCAAATCAGCTTCAGTCCCACCTAACCCAACACTTAAACAGCCCTGGCCACTTGAGAAGTGGCACCATTGGATGGGAGCTCAGCCCTCAGATAAATAAATGATAACAAATATTATGATAAATGATAAATAATAGAAATGATAAAGACTAATCCTTTTGTTTCATGAAAAAATAAATTCCTTTTTCTCTTTTGGCCTTTGTAAGAAAAAAAAACGTAATCTCACGATTCGGAAGTAAATTTGAGCGCATGTTCAAGGAAAAAAAAAATTAACATTTCAAATTGATGTCAGTTAAAGTATGAGCAGTGAAGTAGAGCCAGCCAGAGGCTGAGTGGAACCAGCAAGAATTTACAGCCTACCTGATGGCTGCCTGCCAAGATCTTCCTGCTGAGAGTCACCACGTCAGCCCGGGTGATTGCAGGTGCACCTGTCTTCCGTTGTGTGACACACCCCAGAAACACACTGCTCCAGTCCAAATCTCAGCTTTTTCCCCTTCAGCTTGTTGTTCAACTTCCCCAACCTTTTTTCTCCATGTTGGTACACATGAGAGCCACAGCTTTATCAGGACACTTGGCGCAGTGTCTCTCACAGTCAGTGCTTGCTTTTATATTGGCCACCAGAAATTCAAACCACCAAAACACTCAGCTCTTTTAATGATGCCCTTACATGTGTCTGTTATTAAAGTACTTTTTGAAAAGATTGCTCTATTGTAAGGGTTACCAATAATAAATAACTAGGTGGCAGAAAATTCCACACGTTGGTATTCTGTTCAACATGATTTATTAAATGCTGATGGAATCCTAGATACATTGTTTTGGGCTCTGCCAGAAACACAAATTAATCACAGCGTTTCTTTTTCTTTTTTCCCTTAAAGCATTTATAACCTGAAAACTTAGTGAAGCGTATGAGATAGTATCTATTGAAATGCCTTTGGTTTGTAGTATTTTTCTGCGATCTCACGTGCCTGAAGTTCAGGGAAAGCCCTCTTAGGGCCACTGTTGGTGCTACTTCTAGATCTCCCCCAGGGACATGGTGTAGAGTGACATGGCACCCTCATAGCACCATGGATCAGTATCCTGTGCCCTTGTGTTTAAGTTCTAAATACTCAAACTTTCCCAACAAAGGTATAAGACATGTTTCTCCATGTAAGAAAATAGAGAGGGAAATTTTAAACAGCTTCTGTGGTTGCAAGAAAATTTATAAGGAATCGTTCACTGCTGATATTGTATAGGCGTTCATGAGGATTTATGCCCAAAATGTAAGTTTCATAACACTGTGCTGGGAAAACCAATTTAGATTGATTAATTTTTCTAATTCAGAAAGTCTGTTTGTTGTGTAAATCCAGCTTAATTAAGTACAGCCAATCAATAAGAATTGTCTCTTCTATGCTGTCCCTGTGATGTTTATATCAGCTATGCTATATTTACTCCCAAGTGTATCATTGTAAGATTTATCAGTTTTCTTCTTTGATACATGTGGTCTAAGCACCATGCAAAGGTGCCCAGGAACCCTACTGGACAGCCTGAGAGAACCTCCATTTGCATGTCAAGATAATCCTTTAAATTGCAATGGCATATCAGAAATGTCAACTCTACAATCAGCGATGCTTACCCCTCTGCATTTTTCTCTCTTTGCCAGAAGATCACCCATGTGCAACCAACCATCCATCAACAAAGCCACCATAACAGGTAAGGAGGAACTGCAAGCTTCATCTTCTTGTGTTTAGAAAGAGGTCGTATCTCCAAAGGCTCAGCATACTGAAGTTATACTGTGATTACAAAATTTTAAAGAAAGGGGTTTCCTTTTCTTCTCTGTGTTATCATTCCGACACTTACAAGTTGTTTACTGATGTCAATTTTCTTAAGCCTGCCACCTTGTGCTGTAGTTAGGTTAGCAATGCCGCACCTCTCTATATTCTCAGAGATAATATTAGCTCCGAAATGGCAAACATTGGGGTTCCATGCTCGGTTGTCAGCGCTCTGAGTATGCGACAGCTTAGTTCGATGAAAATAAAATCAGAAAAGGGTTCTTGGTGAATTAGCATCCCGATCATGTATCTGTTCAAGTAGTTCTTTTTCTAGCTAAGTACAAATTCAGTTTGGAAAGGAGGGGAAGCAGTTATATAATGCAAAAAAGTTCACTGAGATCAAAAGAAAATAATCCACAGATGTGGGCGAAACAAAAGTGGAGGACCAGACTGAGGGAAGTAAAGGACATAAAAATAGAATTATTGCAATTCCTATTAGTCTGTTTGAGATGTGAGGCTTGACCTTGGCTGAACCAAACACAGAATGAATGATCTCATTTTGCTGAGCCTGAAACCAAATTCAACCAATTTCATCATTACTTGAAACCCAACTTCTCCATTAAAATAAATGCTTGGAAAAGAAACTTAGATTTGTCTCAAATTACCACCAGAAAAAAATTTAATATATTCTCCAAACTGAACCAATACTTTATTTGGCTCAAATGTTTTCTGCAGACAGTCATAACAGAGGGGTTCCTTCTTTGGTTATTTGGGAATAAACTTTTCTTTATCATGGAGCGTCAGATAATCATACTCAGCACATCAGATTGATTCTTCAGATTCATTTATTTACCTGAAAGTCAGAGTTTCAGAGACAGGAAGAAAGAAAGCATGAGTGCTTCCATCTGCTGGCTTACTAACCTAGGTGGGCACAGTAGTCAGGCCAGGCCGAATGCAGGAGAAGGGAGCCCCTGCAGGTCTCCCATGTCAGTGTCCGGGTCCCAAACACGTGCACCATCATTTGCTGCTCAGCCTAGGCCATCCCAGGGTTGTAATGAACTCAAGGAGGCCAGATGCATAGAGTCCAGCGCCGATTTCTACTTTTTCCTACCACGCCTGGCATTTGCTTGTTGTTGTTTCTCAGAATCATTTAAAAATTGGAAGAGCAGAAGCGGGCGGTGAGGGGGGTGGGTCTTAAAAGTCTATCAGCTTCTCCTTGGATTCCACTTACAATGACAAGTCGTTTTCAGTAATCCCCTTACCATTTACAGTAAGGCTTATTTACACGTTGATGTCAGAACAAGCCTAGATTCAAACATGGTCTGAGCCCATGAACTGTTTTAGGAGGTGAGCTGAATCATCATATGGGGAAGTCAATTCATTTGCAACCTTCATGTTCCATTGTAAGGAAAATCATCTTGGAGCTGCCCCTTAAACATTTTGCTGTATCTTCCCCCTGTGATTTCCAACAGGTTTCTGAATGTAGTCACCTTTGATTTGAGGCTTTTCATGCAAGAATCTAACTCAGAGAAAACCTGTTTAGATAGTTTTCAGATAAGAAAACTGAGACTTGTGAGAGAACGCCTGCTTGGCTGCAAAGCCAGGAACAAGCATGTGATTCATGTATTTTAAAGGACATTGTTTGATTTGTGTTGAAAATCCGATTTCCAGAAAAGAGAAGGAGAGAGAAAGACAGGTCCTCCATCTGCTGGCTCACTCCCCAGATGGCTGCAACAGCCTGTGCTGGGCCAGAAGGAAGCCAGGAGCTTCATTCATGTCTCCCGAATGGATGGCAAGGCCCCAGACACTTGAATCATTTTCGACTGCTTTTCCTGGGCCATTAGCAGGGAGCGTGATTGGAAGTGGAGCAGCCGGGAAGGAATCCTATAGGGGAATGACAATGCGGCAGGGGCCAGCTTTTCTTGATATACCACAGCACTGGGCCCAAATGGGTCCTTTGTCTAAATCCAGGATCCTTCTTTAAATTGTCTCTTTGTTTTATATAAATGTGTGTGTGTGTATATATATATGTATATGTGTGTGTGTAAATATATATATATTTGTGCATAATGTTAACAGAGTTGATCAGGGTAGGAAGGATCCAGGGTTAGGGAAAAGTAGATGTGATCGTTGCTTCCAAATTTTCTATTTCCTTCTGTTTCTGGAGGAAGGGGAAGAAAAAAAGAGAAGCCACACCCAGCCTCCCCACCGCCCCAGTATCAGGAATGGGGACCGGCCACCCGGTATCAACTCAGGATCCCGATGTGGGACACTCTCTGAGGGTTCTGCCCAGATGGTTTGGATAGTTTTGAAACGCTTTCAATTTCGTGGATCAGGATCCTTCATAACACTCTTATACAATAAAGTCAGCCATCAGAATAAGGTGGCCTTCAGACTCCCTGATGCCGGTGTTTCAGAGACTGTGAAAGTGTTGAAGGATGTTCATTTCTGAGTAATAAGGCATAGAGTTGGATTATTTGTACATGGACATAAAAATTAGAAAACATCTCAACTCTGGACATGTCTTTGAAATTAGATTTTGTTTTTTAATTCTGTCCACCGATTATATCCTAGAGGCATAAGGCTAGACCACCCTTCGATAAAGGACATCTGCTTTTTGAGTTTGGAAAATGAAAGGTCTTACCATATCCCAGTAATAAAACTGGTGCGATTGCCTGCTCTTACCTGCAGGGGGAGATGCATGCTACAGTGAGTGCTCAATTCACGCACAGGAGAATGTGGCTTGTCACCAGGTCGCTCAGCATTTTCTTGACTTTGTTTTTAAATCGGGAGCATTTAAAATGGAGTTTAGTCCTTCAGTAAGTAGAGGGTTCAAGAGTAAACTGTCCAAATATGGACAATCTCACATGTTTATTCTTTGTTGTGAAGTCTAAGGCAGAAGAAAGATGCTTCTCTAGAACAAATGTTTTGTTACCTGGGCTGATCATTTAACGCTGAACAACTCCTTTATGGTGGCAGTGATGATGCTAGTTGCTTGAATTTGCCATTTAAGTATGTATGAGTGTTTCTATAGGATTAAAAAAAAAGTAGTACATATAAGAGAAATGTGTACATGGGGTGGGCACTTGGCAGAGCCATCGCTTGGGAATGCACGCCCGCTGTCAGAGTGCCTGAGCTTGAGGCCTGGGTGCATGCTCACCATCGCAGCTTGATTAGCACCCTGGAGACAGCAGGGGAGGGGTAGTTGTGCCCCTCACATCCCTGTGGGAGACCGAGATGGAGTTCCCAGCTCCTGCATTGGCATTGCCCAGCCTTGATTGGTACAGCCACTCGGGGAGTGAATCAGTGCACGTGAGATTTCAATGTCTTCTTCTCCGCTTTTCAAATACAATAAATGAGAGAGAAGGAGGGAGAGAGAAAACAAGCTTAACAGCTTGAAGCAAAAGCCACCTAAAGAAGGCAGAGGGCTGGCTCTGAGTCAGAGAGGCCCTGAGGACACCCTGTGAGGTCTGTGCATCAGAAGGGCGGGCCAGGCCCTTCCAGGGAAGCCCCACCTCCCTCCAGTAGCTGCAGGATGACTTACTGCTTCCTCTGGCAAAAGCACAGAGAGCGGCAACGATGTAATAATTCCAGGGAATGCATGTTCCATAGCCTTTCTTAGGATGTGATTGGAAAATGCTGATGATACAGTATGCTTAACAGCTTTACTGAAACATTTGTAAGGATTGTGTTATGTTTTACGTAGAGGATTTTTTAAAAAAAAAAAAACTTGTTTAATGTGTTTACTTAATACATTGAATGACTGCCAAATATTCTACAATTTTAAAAATGGTTACTTTTGCAGAAATCCACATATGAAAAAGGCTGGGAGATACTGAAAGATTTATTTAAATAGGGAGAGGATGACAATTAGTTAAACTTGTGATGCTTATAGAGCAATCAAAGTCCATCTTTTTATTAGAAATTTCTCAGTTTTGTCTTGTTGTTTTTTTTAACCTATCAGTGTGAGAAAGTCCCATCCTGACAGTGATCTTTTGAAGAAACATTGACAGAAGTTACACCTGGGTTTTCTAAATAGTAAAAATTGATCTGTTCTGCCGATGGGGAAAAAATCTCTATTACCTGAATGTCTGATTTGGATACTACTTGAATTGAAATAATTGAATGTTTATTTAGTCAACACAACAAAAACAATTGAGTCCAATACCCAAGTGAAAAGCCTTCCTTTTACGGTATAATTTTGGCCAATTTAATTGAATTCTCCAAGGTTTCATTGATTTATCAGTAAATCCTTAGTTGATGCTTGGCACAATGCTTGGTACCTAGACGGTATTCACCAAACATTAGTTATCCTTGTTGCTATAATTTGGTTGTTGTAATCCATTTGTCAACAGATATTTTCTATGCACGTTGTTATGTATATATTGCCTGCAACAAAGTAGATAAATGAAATGTGACCTTGGGCTTCAAGTAGCATGCAATCTAGAAAAGAAGGAATAAGGGTGATTCAGCAATGGCAAATACCATAAATATAAACCTCTTAAAATATAGGTATGGAAGGAGCCAGCAAACACTTTGGGAAGACTCTGTACTAACCTTTGAGAAATATGTTCTCTATGTGGTAAGGAAAAGATGGCCTTACACCACCAAGAGAAATATGGAGACATGCAATGCCAGATAGGAAGTTGGGGACTCTCAAGGACACACATAGTTGAATGTTCATGGGGGCAGCATGAGGCTGCTCAGAGAAGTAAGGGCAGGAGCATCCCAGGCCTGTGTCACAGTGAACTTCCTCCATGGGCACTAGAGAATCATCAGTTATTAGAAACCCAGGTGAGAAACCTGCAGCTAAGAGAACCAGTGTAGGCCTCGATTATGGCAAAGATTCTGTGGTTCTGAACTGGAGTGGTGATACGGGGTCGTGGGGAGGTGAGAAAAAGGACTCATTTCTTTTCAGAGACAGCCCTGAGAAGTCTTGAG